AACTGGGGCGAGAGCGTTTGTTGAGTTTAAAGGCCGCAAGTTTTTCGTCTTCACTGGGTTCCCATCCTCCATTGTCAGGATAGTGTGGTGAATCCGTTAGGACGTGTGCTGGTTTTGATGGTGGTACTGGTGATGCCGGTGGTGTTGGTGTAGGTGGTGGTGGAACCGGTGGAACTGGTGATGTTTGTGGAGGTGAATTGGGCGAGCTGGTGAGAGAAATCGTTGTGATTGGTGGTGTAGGCTGTTTCGGGAGGTCTGTATTGTTCTTGTGTTGGTGAGTCGCTTTGGACTTGCGGTGGTGTGGTGAAAACTGATGTGGTGAAGTGGGCGTAAGTGAAGGAGAAGGTTCTGGTTTGCACTCCATGAATGGTTTGTCTTTGGCGGGAGGTGGACTGCGGCTGCGTGAGAAAGTCGGCTGCGGTTGCTGTGGTGGAGGAGTGCGCCTGGCTGGTCTTTGGGGAGAAGGTGGAGTGGTAGTGAGTGGGTGATGTGCATGTTGTAGTGGTTGCGGTGTAAACGGTGGAAGGTTCTGAAAAGTAGTAGCAATGGAGGTGGCTGCTTGAAGGTGTGCTAAAAGGAGTCGATGGGCAAATGCTGTGTCCAAAGGCGAAGTCATCGTCGTGGTACTCGTCGGGAAGCAAATATAGCTCGGGTGATCGTCAGGGATCGAGTTCAATATTCAAGATAATACAAAATGGCTGCGGGGCAGGATGAAAAAAACACAGGAAATCTTGCGACTCTCTTCAAAATGCTTGTGACTCTCTTCAAAAAGCTTGAAATCAACCAGGAATGCTGACATGCTGCAAGTCTGGAAGATTGGGAAAAATGGAAAAGGTGACTGTAAAGAAGATCTTGTTGTCGGCATCACTCTGTACAGGAATAAAATATCGGAAGAAAAGGAAGTTGACAACGATGTCGGCATCACTCTGTACAGGAATAAAATATCGGAAGAAAAGGAAGTTGACAACGATGTCAATATCAAGCAAGCTGGCTGAGATTGTTTGAGGCTAGGTCGTCATCCAAGATGCAGGGTGAAAAACGGACCTCGTGAGCTGAATAGGTTGAATTAAATGAAACTGAGCGGTGGCTTTGCATCGCTTTTCCAGGCTATCCCTTCTATTCTGGAATGTTTGGGATGGGCCACCCAGCATTTTCCTGGGGTGTATTTTACAATCCCTTCACCTCTGAGCAGCAAGTCGTTCGCTGCGGATTCGCCTCCATGAGTGACTTTCTGGCCGTGTCCATAGGCTTTGATCGTCAAAATAAGGCCGCTGCGGTTCTTGGCCATGTTGGAAGCATTGAAGAGGACGCGTGCAGCTTCAGCAGCATCATGGGGCTCGTAGTTCGACAATTCGAACGCCTGACAAAAATAGCCCACGTTGTGATCATCATGCAGAATGGATCGCACGATTTCTCCTGCTTCAAGTATTGAAATGATGTTGCCCTCCTCGCTAACGTGTGCCGCAAAAATGTGTTTAATAGGTGGTATGTTCAGCGCCTCTCTCCGTGTAGGAGGAAGAATCGGGGCGTCGCCCCTGCTCGCTAATGTGGGGATTGTGAGTAGTAGGAAGGAATAATGTTCTTCTTTGTTGGTGTCATCGCTCCATTTTGTGTGTGTGAGGAGTTGTAGGTCTGTAAAGTGGGTGCTGTTGAGATGAGCTGCACTGAGTACCTTGGCTACGTAGGAGATCATGGGTTCATTTTTGACATCGAGTGCTTGTGCGTAGCGGTTGAGCCATTGGAAGACATCCAATTGTGCTGGATCAGTGGGTGGTTGGAATGTTGGAGGAGGCAAGTTGTGAGGTCGACGCTGTACTGGAACTGCAGGTGTTGGTGCTGGGGGTGGTGGTGGAAGTGTCTGTTTTGTGGAATGCTTGGGAGTGAAATGTGGGTTGGGCTTGAGTGTAATGCTGGAAGTACGGTGAGTTGACTCTGGAGTGTGTTTTGCAGTGGTAGCGGTAGTAATGTTTTGGATGGAAGTGTGAGCTTTGTCTTGGGTGATTGCTCGTGATTGTGATGCTTGTCTATCTGCAGGTTTGGATTGTGCTTGAGAGCTAGCCACGGATTGGGTGGCGGAGCTTCGACGTCTTGGTAGTGGAGAACGTGTGGTGCGTAGTGATCGAGTGCGGCTCCTGGATCTGGATGTAGCTTGTGATGGTGCAATGGAGGGAACGGCTGGGAAGGCTGAATAGCGGTGATGTTCAGGTGTGCGTGGTGGTGAGCGGTCTGGGTCACGCCAAATACCTCTTGTAGTGCTGAGTGTGGGTGCGATGGATGGTGTTGGCTTAGTAGTGCGTGGTATGTGGTGTGATGGCGGAGGCTGTGCGGGTGTGTTGATGGATGCTGAAGCAGGTTGAGTAGCCGCTGGTGAGGTTGTTGAAATGTAAGGTGGTGGTGGTGGAGTGGGTGTGGCCAACTGCTGTGAAGTGATTGTTGTTGGATCAGGTGGTGGTGCTTGTAGCACATCAGGTGCTTGTAGTGGTGGTGGTTGAAAAGAAGGTGTGGTAGGGGTTTGATTTGTCGTGTGTGGTGATGGATGTAGTTGTTGCGGTAGATGTGGTCGAGGAGGTAGGGATGGTGGCTGAGGTTGAGATTGAGATTGAAGTGGCAATGTAAGATGTGTGTGGGCTTGGGATTGTGGTGGTTGAATTGTGAGATGCGGATGTTGTTGTGTAAGTTGGGCAGTGTCGAAGGGAGCTGTGGGTTGTGCTGGAAAATGTGCCTGGAGTTGATGTGGTGGGATGTATTGAGCGTGAGGTGGAGGTGTGGGGGGCAATGGATAGTGATGTGAGGTTGGGTGTTGTGGTGGAGTCGGTGGCAGTGTTGGAAAAAGTTGTGGTGAAGCCTGTGGTGGATATTGAATCCAATGGGGTTGTGTAGGTTGTGGTTGTTGTTGATGGATGTGTGGCGGCAAAGAATAGGGCCAGGGATACGTCATGGCTGCTCGGCAAGTCAAAGACAGTGAAAATATGTAAGTATGTATGAAAATAAATAGAGGTCCGTGAGGTCGAAAAAGTTGTGGAGTGTATTGAATGGCCGCAATTGGACTCTGAAAAATTGAACTCTGGAAAATGGAATTAAAACCTTGGAAGGTTAAAAGGATTTGAAAATTTGAAAAGATTGGATTTCCGGGTGAAACATTTTCAGTTGACTCTGCAGTGGGATTCAGAAAAGAATTCAGTGAACTCTGCAGTATTCTTCACATGTGCGGGGTGAGACAATCCAAGCTGATTTTCGAGCAGGTAAAAATTCAGTCAAAGGGACTTCAGAGAAAATTCAGGAAACTTACTCCTTCGGTGAGGAGTGATCAGGTTCTTGCGGTAACGGCGCCCCGTAGGGATCACACAGCTCACCACAGTGGGAAGAAGCTGCGAATACACACTTGAGAAGGTTGCTCCGTGGAGCGTGATTTCAGGCTGCTTCGCGGTGTGCAGTAGCCCTTTAGGTGAATACTTAGCCCTTGACTTGATTCAACAGAAAGAAGTGCAAAGTCCGCTCACTTGAATGTTTCAACAAAAAGTATTAATTTAGTGTATATTAAAAATTGCAGGTACATGAGAGTGATCAGCTCTCACTTCCCTCGACACATCATAGCTTCGTTGCGTCAGGTAGATGTGTCGAGCCTGACGCCCCTGCTTCTGTACAGACAAGTTCGTAGGGTAGATTAGAAATAGCTAGAGTAGTGTCCTTGGAAACAGGAGTGGACACACACACACACACACGCCTCCCCAAGGGGAGGCTGCTCTTACCTCGTTGTAAGGCCAGGAGCCCCTAGTAACTTAGTAGCGTCGCATTCTAAGGTCCCGACAGGAGGGAGGGGTAGGGAGAGAAGAGAAGAAAGAAAGAAGAAAGGAAAGGAAAAGAAGGTGTTCCCAGCTACGGCACAAGCGTCCAAGGACACACCAAGAGAAGAAGAGAAGGGTTCCCAGCTATGACGAAAGCATCCAGGGACACCCAAAAGAAGAAGGAAGAGGGAAGAGGGAGAGAGGAAAAAGACTGAAAACAGGTGTTCCCAGCTACGCGCAGGCGTCCAGGGACACACCAAGGAGAGGGGTATACCTGAGTGTTACATTCAGGAATACCCCGAAAAAGGAAGAGAGAAGAAGGGGAGGGGAGGGGGAGGAAGGGGACTAAGGTCGTGACAGGTTCCAACGAACCTCAAAAGTACTTTGACCGCTGTGGTCACCTTGTGCCCTGCCAAAGTTGCTGGCTGCTTTGACCGCTGCGGTCACGTAACGGCATGAGCCAGCTTGGAATTCCCAAAGTGAGACAAGAGTCTTGGCAAATAACTTTGGCATAAGCCTCCTTCGCTCGCTGCGAGCTACTCTGGTCCCGGGCGCAGGGACGAAGACAAACCCCCGTTCGACGGGTCCACGGGAGGCACTCTGCGGGCTCATCCCGGGCTCTCACTAGGAGAGACACACTTATGATTTGGTGTACGGAACTGAATGCCACATGCCACACGCCAGCCTAAGAAACCAAATCCTGAAAAGTCCAGGAGAACCCTATGGAGCCTGGAGGTCTTCAAAAGGAGAAAGGGCCAAAAGCTCAAGACCGAAAGCGACGAGTAGGTCGAGATGACGTCGTACGCTCATGTCTGCCAAGCTCATTAGCACTGTACTGGAAATTGGAGTCAAAGCTTGTTCAAAAGTTCAAAAAGCAGGTACGTGCAGCTGATCAGGCTGCATATCCTGAGGTCACCATAGAGAGCTTCGTTGGGCACAGCTCTATGGGCCTCCTGTGCCCCCTGCTCAAACAATTCAAAAAGAATCCCTGTCACTACAAGGGGCACACACACACACTCAAACTCAAAGATTCCTGCTGATCTCCCGCAACTATTGTAGATCTTACTTCATTCACCAAAGGGGAGACCCCCAACGGGGTATCCACCAGGTGTCTCAGTCTCCGCTTCTGTTTCTGAACCCGCACTCTCGATGTCTCCACATGGTCGTCAGCTGGAAACGGACACCCCGCGGCACCGTCGGCGCCGCAGATTCCGCCTTCTCACCGATGGAGTATCCAAAACTGCTGGGGAGCTCCCCCCAGCCCACCTCCCAACGTCCAGGCGAAGGGGATTGCAGACGGGCGAAGGGACCCGAAGGGAGTATCCCAGCCATGAATGGAAGGAAGCAACGGATGGAGCTTAAGCAAACCAACAACATGAATATGTGCCGTATGGTTCCTAGATGTCCAATAGTCATTGTCAGATTCATCATCTCCTTTCTACAGAACTAGTGTCACGAGTTTGGGGGCAAGGTAGAATCCACTAGTGGCTCACAAGTTTGCGGCCCCAACGACCCGGACGGCCTTGTTCAGCAAGTTCTTCAACATCCGAAACACCTCAAGCGTTGTGCACCAACAAGCCACTTCAGGTCTCTCGAACAAGTTCGTATGAAAGGAAAAGCAGCTAAACACAAATGAAAACACAAACACAAGAATTGTATAGTCTAAGAAGATATCCGAGTTCTTTAGACATATTGAGTACATTTGAGTACATACAGCTTTGGATGAGGGAAACAACATGACTCTTTCATCATGCCTGGCTTCGTCCGCATGCTACTATGTTGCACCTACATCTGCCCAGGCTTCTTCCCAAGATTCATCAAGTTTCTTTCATGTTTCTCTACAGCGAAGTTCTTCACATCAGACTTGCTCATCTAACAAACATTCGACTGTCAAGCCCCTTGCTACGAAGCAGGTGAAGGGCGCAACGCAAAGCTTGCGTTTGCTAAGCACGTGGCGGAAGAAAATCACAGGTCCACATCACCGGTGAAAAGCTGAAGACCCTGGAAGTTCTCTTCTGAGTCTCTGTTGGAAACCTCTTATAAGAGGTCTGAAACCTGACAAGAGAACTAAGAGTGCGTTGCAGGGGCTTTCAAGAAACTTGGCGCGCTTTGACTGCTTGAGGGGTCTATGAATACCCTGGAATCTACAGTGGGAGTCTAGGGGTGGTTCTACACGTTCGTCACTGGAATGTGGTTGTCTCAAACATTTCGTTCTTCCACTATAGGAGTCCATGTTTCCTTTCTTCTTCATACCGGGTGACGCCGTGGGTGGCGCCGAACTGTGTGCATGTGTTCTACGTGCCCAGAAAAAACGGCCGCAGGCTGAACCTCGTCTTGGACCCACAGAATCCTACTCAGCGATGGTCACACAGCGATTTCCTTTATATGTCGAAACCGGGATTCTTGGGTTACTAGGAGCAAGGACGCTACTAGGGGCTCCTGGCCTTACTAGTAGGAGCAAGAAGCTACTAGGGGCCTTACTACTTGCTAATGGGAAACCTGGAGGGCTCTGACAGGAATACACAGAGCATCACAGAGCCCTGCTAAACAAGGTCGTCTTGAAGCTGATGCATTGCTGTTGCTGATTGGTGTTGGTGGCCTTTTCAAGCGGTCTGAGCAAATTCAGCGGCGTGTTGAAGCGGAGGTGCCACTGCCACCTTATATATATAGTAACTCCATGCACATACGATCATATATAACTATATGTGTATATGATAATATAAAATGTATATGTATATACATGTATATATGCATGATTGAACTGTCAATTCTTTTTGGACAACCTCCAACTAATCAAATGTTGACATCTCTTCCAAAATGATCCAAAAATGCACCGTGCTTCCCTCAACTCGACTCAAGAACAAAGCTGTAGAATTGCCTTGCAGCGCGGTCCATCTACCCTCAAACAAGTCAAAATGCACTTTGCAGAACCGCCTCAGAAAGGAACATGGTCAAGCTGTTTCTAGACTCTAGACCTTGGAGTGGGTGCTGTTCTCCACCTCACCCACCTCACCGAGCATGCACCCAGCGGAGCACGAAGCGAGTCATGCACCGAGTGGAACACCGCAGCGGCCCGAGCAGGGGTCCCGCTGCTTTTGGCTCGAGCTGAGTCATGCTTTGAGCTCTTCACTCGTCCTGTAGCATCGGTTCTGAGTCTGTCAAATTGATCTCCTCATCTTAATGGTGTACGTGCAGGTAGTAAGAATGTGCATGCTGTGCTGTGCTTTAGCTTTTTTTTGTCCACAAATTGAACCATCTTGCTACAAGGCAAGTGCGTACTTTCGTATTACGTATCAACAAAACATACTGGTCCTCTACTGGATGGAGCAGTCTAGCAAGGGGATTGGGCAACTGAACCTTCGCTCCACCCGGTTTTTCCACCAGTCGCTCCCTCACACCCAAAGGTAAGACCGAAAAGGAGACGGTGGAGACGCCCGGTTTTTCACGGTCGACACCGTCGACCTGCATCGTGGGGCCGAGGTGACCGAGCTGAGGAGCGATCGGACGCGAACCGAACGGGGCGAAACGCCGTAGACTACGAACGGAGCAAGGTTCGCTACTAGGGGCTCCAACGTTGGGCGTCTCAGACCTGTTGGTAGAACCTGGTGGACATGGCTTACCGTAAGGGGGTAATGCAAACCTTTGGGTTTGTTTAGAAACAGGTAGACCACCTTCTTTTTGTTACTCCTTCAGAGCGTCTCCACGGTATCATCCGTTATCATCCTCTATCCGATCTCGGATATCTATATATATAATATACTATATATAATATATAATTATGATATCCTGCATCCCATATTTATCCATGTATATATCCTCCTCATCATCCAATATCTAATCCGAACTCATTAGGCTGGCGTCATCCCAAAACACTACCAGTGTTTCAGTTGTCAGACCATTTGCCAAAGGAGAAACCTGGTCTCGCTCCTCGCTGCTTCATCATCACCTTGGGAGGCCGCCTCGCTGCTTCGAGTCGGAAAGCGCCGAGAGTCGTGCGACGAACGTAGAGAATCGGGGGCAGGAAAAAACGACCCTAACGGAGGTTCCCAACTGGATCCAGCAGCCCTCATTCTGGAAGCCTAAGCACAAGTTGGTCTGAGGATTGACCCCACAACATGTGGCAAGGATGAGCAAAATAACACTTTAAACTGACGGTGGTTAAGCGTCGAATCCCATGAACGACTTGGACAAATTGGATGAGCTTGCAAAAGCCGCCAAGCTTATTTGCACAGCTTTGAGAGAATGGCGCCCCACCTCAACTTAAGTCGTGCTGAGTCATGCTTCTCATGGTCTAGCCGCCTAGCCAAGCTTGGTGTGGATGGTGCAATCTACTCTGGTTTGATTGCTAATGCTCCTGAAATCTGTGAATCCAACTCTGCAACTGTTGATGATCATGGACGATTCTCAACCTACTGCGCATTGCTTTGAGAATGAATGTGTTTAAAGATATGAACATATCTGAACATCAGTGACCACCAACTATAGATCTGACTAACTCAAACATTCATCTGAATCATCTGAATCTGACGTTCTCTGCACCCGACAAAGGCCCGGCCGGTGCGACCGACTCGGTGGCCCGCGCCTGTTCCAGCCAGTACGCAGCCTTCACCTTGTCCTGACCGGTTAGACCGGGTTCCGGTCACACCGCGATGAACACGCTAACCCAAACAAGGCCAACAGCTCATGCCATTTGTCACACAAGAGGCAAACAGATCAAAAAGCATCAAAGACCGCTCCAAGAATGCCCGTCAACCTGCGCTCCAAGGGAACATGACTGAAACTGGACATCACCCAGGTCGATTAGGCCACAAGCCCATCCCGCATCCTCTGGCACTCCATCGCCAGATTCTAACCTCAGCGAAAGGAGTTCGTGCCATTCGGGTTCACGATCTCCCGAGCATCCGAAGGATTTGCAAACGAGCAAACAAATGCAGGATGCTATCCCTGTTCTATATTGTTCTTTTAGACCTCGGCGGCGAGCCCGCTAGTAGAAGAGGTGTAGCTAGTAGCTTAAGATATCTAGCTACTGGATGCAGGATAGCTCAGGCTTCTTCCTTGAAGAAGCGCCCGCACTATTCATTTGGTTCCTAGATGTTTAGGGAAACTTAACTAAAATGACCCAGGATGCAGGATGCTATCATATGCTATCCCTGTTCCAATCTGTCTCCACAAAGATCCCACGAAGAAACGTGGAAAACTGCCGTGTTGTAAAACGACGCGTGGAGAGATGATTTCCTTCAGGGTGGTCTGAAGTTCACTCGTCAAGTGTGGAGAAGCGAACAGTCTGCAAGCTGATAGCGAACGAACAGCAGACATCAGTCAGACTGCCAAGCACTCTATTTTCCGTTGGTTTATGGCAACCGAAAAAGGCAAGGAGCTGAAGAAACTCCACTTCAAAACACCAGTTAAGCATACCTTGGAGGCATCCTGGCCCTGTTGACACCCAGATCTCCGACTGTCAATCCTCACATCCCCTTCCTCCCTAAACCGACTGCCACTTCGTGCCATGCAACCCCGGTCCCAAACCCAAGGTGAGACGCCCCCCCCCCATCCCAGGCCGAGGCACATCAAGCCCAAGTTGTACTGAGCATCTACGTGGCCCTGAAGTGCTGCCTTCCGAGTCCCACGGGGCCCACATGCCCCAGCCCCTACAGTAGCCGTGCCGCCAGCGTACGAGTGGAGGTGCCAAACTGCCGAAACTGGGGGGGGGGCACAGCTCCGTGGCCCTCGTGTGCACGTGTGGCGAAGTTTCATGCTCAAATTGATCGAGACTTGAAGCAATTGCTTCCTTTACATTTCATGGTAGACTCCAACATTGGAGTGTGATCCCAAAATGAAACACACCTTGCAGCTCTGGAGCCGGACTGCTGATGGCCAGTATGGTGGGCACCGCCCACAAGTTTAGGCGCAGTGTGGTACTCACAATACTCTGGCCAAGGTACAAAGAAGGAAATAGAACCAGGACAGAAATCTGAAGATACGTACTCTCAGTGCTAGGGGGTCAGATGGGGTCAAACACTCGACCCGCATCTACCCGCAGTGCCCGCGACTTGCATAAGGCAAACAAATAGGGAGCTAGGATGAAATGGCAGTACAGTTCGTGGGCAGAGCGCAGGTCCTACCCTGCAAGGGCAACATGAGCCTTGACACATTTGGTGTCGAACGGTTTCAATGTTTTCCTGAAACTACTTTAATTTTGACCTTGCAGCTGGTTATAAGTCTAGCCATAGACAGGTTTGGTCTGCTAAGGGCAGGCTTGGCTGTGCGCCTGTGTTCCGCTTGCACTTTCTGTGGGTCCTGCCTTCCTTCGTTTATTTGTTCCTTCGTTCCTTCATTTCATTCTTCCTCAACATTGATTTCTCCTTCCCTTCCCTTCCCCTCACCCCCTCCCACGAAAAGAAAAACACACACCGATCCTTCTTCCACCCGCTTCCACCAAGCCCTCACGCAGCCGACGTCTTATGCCTGCTCAAACCAATGAGCTGCCCAGGCCATATTTTGTTCCACACCTCGATCGGCACTCAGCCAGCATTGGCACATTGCCCGATGTTAGAAAGGGGATGAAGGACAAAGAGTTGAAGGTCAGAAGATTCCTGCTGACGACAGGTTGCTATTTCCCAATCAGTGAACGTTGAACCACCCAATCCCACAGGGGGAAACGCCAACCAGCTGTTGGCGTGTGTAGACTGGAGCATTTGGGGGGGCATGTGGTGGATGAGGGGTACTTCACTTCATGAAGACGACATTGAAAAAGTTGATTCCCAAATATATAATCTCAGTAAGTGCACATTCCCAGAAAAGACAGCATATCTTCAGTACGTGCAAACGTTTTTTTTTTTTTAGGAACTAAATCTGCAAAGGTTGGAAGATCCAGGTATCATGTGCACAAGCCTTGTTGCGATTCAACAACTAACAACAAACAACAAACAACAAACAACACACAACAAACAACAACAACCAACAACAACAACAACAACAACAACAACAACAACAACAACAGCAGCACCAGCAGCAACAGCAGCAACAGCAGCAACAGCAACAACAGCAACAACAATGCAACAGCAATGCAACAGCAACGCAACAGCAACAGCAACTGGAACAGCAGCAGCAACAGCAACGGCTGCAGCAACCGCTGGAGTGTCTGCAGCAGCAGCAGCAGCAGCCGCGCTGAGTTGCTTGTCCGTTAAAAGGAATCCAAAAGAAACAACGAAACAAGACCCCGCAACCAAAGGCCAAAAACCACGTTCATTCCAAAAGCCATCAAAAGCCCAAGCAAAACAACCGAGCCAACTTTGCAGGTCACCCTGTTGTATGATTCTATTCAACACTTTCAAGCCACCAGCTTGATCCACCTTGTCCCGCCAGGAGCATGGTGCCCATGAGGTATTGCGCGTCCTGCGGAGCTAGTGATGCCGTACCCGACTTGCATCATCATTAGCATCCTCCTCCTCATCATGCTCATCCTCCAGCTACTTCTAATTTGATTCTAATTTGAGTCCTTTGCAAGCGACATGTTGGATATCGCGAGGTTCATCGGCCCAAAATGGTAACGAAGCTGAGTAAACGAGCCAACATTGTCTGCTTTCCCAAAGGACATTAGATTTCTATAGAAATCATAGCCACCAAATTAATGCATTTGACAATGATGGTGGTTATTTCTTTGTATGATGATATTGTAGCTGTTTCTATAGATCAATTATAAATTTCTTGATGATTTCTTGATGAACTTGCATTGAATAACCACCATAAGACACAACCAATGGGACTGGAATTCTTACCTACATTGACGCCGGAAACAACCGCCCCAACTGATCGGCAAATATGCCAGTCCCACGGAGTGTTTGGGTAATAGATTGGTGATTGTTGGTGAGTGTACCTTTGTCCATCTCTTCAAAGTCCGATCAACAAAGAACCCGATTCATTAGGCCCAAGACCCACCTGCGCAACCAAGTTCCGAGCCCGCATCATCCACATAGAACATGATGCCTATATGCTATTAAAGTGTGTCCCCGGTCGATGACAACGGTCGCAACCGATGCGGGCATGATCCTTGGGTCCGAGCCGCGAGCCCCACGTCCCACGTCCCACGGGTCCCTGCGAGCGCAATGGCATCTGGTTTTGCCTTCCCGAGCCTTCCCCGCCGTGCTAAGAGGTGCGACAGAACAGGTTTGTCTCAAATCACGGGCAGGGTGGCAAACTGGCGGAGCTTGCGGAAGAACTCTGTCAGTGAATCAGTGATGAATCATGACCCCAATGAGTCTTCCAAAACAAGCAAAACGACCCCCGACCGGTTCCAATGAAAAAACTAGAACTGCCAGAAACACTGGGTTTCAGGCACAACCCTTTTGCTGCAATTCCGGCGCCGTCAAAACCGCTCCTTGTAGCCGCTGTTGGCAGCGGCCGAGGCCCACGAAGCAGCCGTGGCCTCATCTTGTTCAAGTCCAGCACCGTAGAGGAACATCCTGATGCCAGGTGTTGACGGGCAAAGTGGTCCAGCCAATCTGCTGGAGAGCCTCCATCAACTACAACCCATTGAAAAGTCTGGCGAAGTCGCGGTTTTCTTTCGCGAACATGTTGTTGTTTTCTCGGAGAAGGAGAAGTTCCAGCTCCGGCGAAGAAAGAAAAGGGTAGCTGCGACTCGACGGCCAACGCGTATATATTAACTAGTTAACAATAAACTAATATTTATATAGTACACTTCTTCATATGTATTATCTCAATTATCTCTATTATATTTACCCCAAGAGGTGGTGTTTAGATGTGATTAGAGCCTAGGGGGGTGGTCAATGGACACCCGTCGTCACATGTCGTCACACCCCTTAGGGTGTCGTGGTAGAATACTGAGTCGACGTACTGATTTCAAGATTTTGCCAGCACCCCGTTCACCGGCCGCATGGCGCCAACCTCGTGGCATCGTCAGAACCAAATCGCTGAAGTACAGAATTGAGACACACCAAACCCTCAAGTTGAGCAAGTTGGACAGATTCAGGTCATAGATCCATTCTGCTTTGGGTTTCGATCAGCTCCGGTCGTCCGTTGCCGCTCCTGGCAATCTGGTACTGAGCTCGGCTGTCGCCCTGCTGCGCTGCCGTGTTCAGCCAATGCGCCTGGGTGGGGGGGCAGGCTGGGGGCGAGAACGCTCCGCTGGGTGAAGCCAGCTAGATCCAATTGTTGGGTTGAAGCAAGCCAAATAATTGGAAGGGATTTACCAGGTATACATGACCCCCCAAGCTTGTTTGACCCATCAGGAGTCAAATCCTGCCCAAATCTTTGTTCCATCTTTGCGAAGTATATAGTCAGCATGAGTCTAGGGCTCCTGCAGCCCATTCCAAGTCTTGAGTTTGGAGCAAGATCATGCCAAGTGCATACCTCATGCATGGACGTCATTTGTGCGGCCAGGCTCACTGGAATTGGAAGGTGTTTACAGTAAATGTGCCCCAGCGACGTGTGCTCCGTGGCACACGGAAAAAAGAGGCTGGGAGGGCAAAAGAAACGTACATCCCATCGATGATCCACAACGGTTTTCGGGCCTTACTGTAATTAAAAATACACGACTTGGGCCTGACGACACCTGAACAAACCACTCACAGGATTGAGAACAGAACAGGTTGCCTAGATGGGGCAAGAGGCCATAAGTCGTACTTGGCGCATTCATGTATTTTATGAAGCCCAATTTGGTTCTGTAACAGCTGAACTGTTGCCATCGCGACACGTGAAGCCAAACACTCAGCAACTCGTAGCCAAGAAACTGCCAACTGTTTAGGAGTTGGCTGATTCCGAGTCGCGGACTGAGCATCTGCGATGCCATTTTCGGCGGCAGATCTCATATACTTCATGGCCTGAAGTCGAAATTAAGTAGCCAAACTGGTCCTTGGATTCTCCTGGACAAAACCGATCTTCGACCAAACAGGGCGTTCATCTAGTCTACCGAAATCATAGCAAATCATAGCGCCATGGTGCGCAAGCATGGTTAAACTTGTTGATCTGTGAGTTGCTGAAACCGAGTCTCTTCTCACCACTACTGCAAACCCCAGCGAAACTGGAACAAATGAAGCCAACACTGCCCCAGCCTACAAAGGTTTGGCGCCATGGCATTGGTTTCATGCCAGGAAGAGGTGGTTAATGGAAACCCCTTGACCCTTAAGGGGCCATTCATGGACACCCGGAATCCGTGGTGCTGGTGATTGTTGGTTTCTTTCATGGAAAACTCAAATCCTTTTTATCCAGCACATCTTCGGTGTCCGGTGTCCATTCCGGAACGACCTTCAGTGGACTCCGCTCGCTCTAACTCACGAGACTCACAGACCGAAACCAAACACGGGTGAAAGGACCGAGTCACGCTGAACTCGGGGATGGAAGGATTCCACTTTGAAACCAAATGGTTCCACATGGAAAAACATATTCCAATTGAAACGATTTGAAAGGTTGCATGACGCGTCTTTGTTTAACCATGTTTACCAAACAATTTGAATCTCCGAATTCCGAAGGCCAAGGAAAAAAATTATGCTGCCATTCTTGACATGGTGTGTTTCACATGTTTCACCCTCCCTTGGTTTCAGCGGTTTCACCCTTCCCGATCCCTCACCCGATCCTACAAACATGGTATACGCATGATCTCCCATGTGATCTCGCCTTATCGGAATCTCCATCAAAGCCATCTTGCAAGTTCCTGGCCACACCAAACTTTAGTTTCTGAGACGGGTTTCTGATTCTACAACTCAACCGTCAAATAGCTGCTACCAGTGTACCTGAATAGTTCTTGAATCTGCTGTCGCAATGAGCTGAGCTAGGCAGCTAGACGCCTGCAACGAACAAAAAACTAATTATCAGGCAAAAGCCTCTACAAAATGATTGAGACCCGTCCCTAACCAAGCATGTAGAATCGTCAATTGCGTTTCAAACAACCAGTGGAGCCGACAGGGACCAAAATGGGCCAAACATGCGGCAACCATCTTTTCCGTTTTAGGTCGACCTACATCAACCAGATGAAGCAAGCGATTGGTCGTTCTGCAATCACCCTTTGTATTGGGCCTATACGGTGGGCCTCCCTTTGCTCTTGAAGCCCCAATCAAAGATACTGCCAATTACCCGTTATCCGGCAACAACAACAACAACAACAAGCACAACGACAACAACAAGGTACAAACAAAAACTGCAACCCCGTTACAACATAACTTCTTCAGCTGCCTACAAGGGGGTGGAAACAACATCTGGAGCCCTGTCGTTGCTTTTTGGCCACCCAAAGCAACCAGCCAACAAGTACTTTTACAATCTTTTAACTGTACTGGTAGTGGCTGTAATACTAGTGGTGCTAGTACTATACTACAACTACAACTACAACTGCAACTACAACTACGCAACAACAACAACAACAACAACTACTACTGCTGCTACTACTACTACTACTACACCTACTACAACAACAGCAACTACTACTACTACTACTACTACTACTACTACTACTACTACTACTAC